TAAATAAAAAACGTTGAGAAAAAAAAAAAAATTAAAAAAAAAATAAAAAAAAATAAAAATTTTTTTTGTCATCGATAGAAGTTTTATATAACATGCAGTAAAAGAGTGCAAAATGTGGGGGTTCCCCTAAGAACTAGTTAAGGAAGATGGCAGGGGGGTAAAGGTCATGCTGGAACTGTCATTCTCAGGGTTGGTAAAGCAGAACTAGAGGTCATAGTTTAAATCAGACTCCAAATAAAGCTTCCTGTATCTGGCCCATGGGATATGCAAGTGGGGTAAATCCCACCTGCTATGGAAAGACCTTACCCACTCTCAGGCCCTTCCCACTCAGGGATGGAAGTGCCTGCATTAGAGAGTCCCAAAGTTCCAACCTTTTCCTAATTTCACTGACCACTAAAGCTCCGTGAGAGATGTGACTTGGAAAGAAGCTCAGAATCTCAGTGCAGTCTTTCGGAAACTCAAATGTTCCTACTGGGGCCAGGATGCTAAAATAGTACAGAATGATTCCCACTATACAAACCCCCATATTGTTGTTTGACAGTGAAATAAGAATCAGTTAAGATCAACTTACAGCAGTACTAATCATCCTTGAGCAATTTAGACTTTTACAACTAACATGAATTCATTAGTGAAGAACTACAGTAACATAATTAAAGTGATTATCACTAAGTTTTTACCTACAAGTTGAGAAGAAGTGTTGTACTTACCAGCTAATTTTCCAGTAATTAAAACAGTGTCTTCAAATAGCCATATATTTGCTTGGCTTTGCGGGAACAGCGAAAGTGTAACTGATGAATATACTGTGAAATATAGAACAATTAAAATATTTTATTAAACGTGGGGAAAAACTAGGTTAAATATAGTCTGTTCCAGCAGGCCCTAAAAAGTGGGAAGGGGTGGGGTGGGGGGGAAACTGTGGAAACAAAGGAAAAATAAATGTAAAATACGATGAAGGGGGGAAAAAAGAGTATCACAGTAAAGTCAGGGGGAAAAAGGTCAGGCATCACTATTTTACTAATCCTTTCTATTTCCAATAGTTTGTACCAAAATTACTAATGATGTTCTATAACCCCAGACATGTATTGTCAGATTAAATGCTTGAATAATCCTCTGTTTTCTCCATACAATTGTTACTTGTTATTTCCTTATGATTAAAATAAATAAATAAAACTTTGGCTCCACAATTCAAGGTTCTCTAAGATAGAGACTACATGCACTGATGTTTTTTTAACTTCCTGCATAAGGGCACAACTCTCTTCACCACACAGTATGGTTTGTCAGCTCTAAGTTGGCAGAAGAGGAAACAGTTTAATGCGTAACAGAACAAATTATCCACAGTCATTGGTAGCAATGCAGGATGAGGCCAAATCTGCCTACAAGAGTAGGTACCTTAAACAACGGGTGGGATCAGTAAGTGCAGATGGCCTGAAAGATAACAAAATTATTTCAAGATCAGAAGTGTGTGGGGGAGGGGAGACCATTTTATAAGCAAGAACAGATCAAATAAACTTACTAAAAATGAGTTCTCATTTGATAGCTCTCTTCTATTCGATACAAGCACTTAACAGAAATAACAAAATCCTAAATCACTTAGGACAGGATAAAATACATTTGCATGGAAATATGTTTTAAGATATTTCAAAGAGCTGTAAAGACTGATAAGAGGATAAAACACAAAAATATATGAATGGGTATAAAATGAAATACACCATTTTCCTACAATAGGAAAAGAAATACCAAACAAAAATATAATTTCAATTCAGAATACATTGATAGCTAGACTAATTAGTGGCTTTATGAAATTAGAAAGTGTCAGGGTAGTAGCTTGGACCTTGAGATGATTATAAGTAGGGCACTTTCCCACATTTGGATACTTTGTTAAAAGGGGTGGGGGGCAGCCCTCACAGGTGAAGGTTATTAAGCCCGAGGAGAATCTTTTGAACTTCACTAAAACTTATATGTGGATTTCCTTTCACTCAAAAAAAAAAAAGGTCTCATTATAAAAGGGATGAATATCCACTCTAGAAAAGTTGAGAAATACAGAAAAAAAGTAAGAATAAAGTGATGGCCCTCCCAATCCCATGACAAAGACAATCACTATTAATATTTCAGTATAGTCTTCCTGGCTTTTTCCTGTGATTTTTTTTAAAATAGGGAGTACAGGGGCGCCTGGGCGGCTCAGTCGGTTAAGCGGCTGACTTCGGCTGAGGTCACGATCTCGCGGTCCGTGGGTTCGAGCCCCGCGTTGGGCTCTGTGCTGACAGCTCAGAGCCTGGAGACTGTTTCAGATTCTGTGTCTCCCTCTTTCTCTGACCCTCCCCCGTTCATACTCTCTGTCTCAAAAATAAACGTTAAAAAAATTTTTTTTTAAATAAAATAGTACAATATTATATGCGGAATATTTTTACCCTTTTTTCATTTAAGATAAGCATTTCCATCCCTCATTAGAAACTCTTCCTAACATTGTCAAGGTCACTTATGTCCTTTCTTGAAATATGAAGACTTGTCACGATCTCGCGGTCCGTGGGTTCGAGCCCCGCGTCGGGCTCTGGGCTGATGGCTCAGAGCCTGGAGCCTGTTTCCGATTCTGTGTCTCCCTCTCTCTCTGCCCCTCCCCCGTTCATGCTCTGTCTCTGTCCCAAAAAAATAAATAAACGTTAAAAAAAAAAATTAAAAAAAAAAAAGAAATATCAAGACTTAACCACTGTACTAGTATCACATAGTTTTCATTTTTACCATTATTGCAAAAAATAACATTTGAATCAACATTCTTATGTACAAAGATCTGTCAACTTTAGTTATATATCTATTTTTAGGATAGACTCTTAGCAGTGGAATACTGGGTCAAAGGTGAAGATTTTGAAGACTTTGACACACATATTTCAAAATTGCTAACCAGATAATTTTGCTGACTTGTACACCCACCAACCATGTTCGAGAAAGCTCACTATACCTCACTCTCTCAGTACTATGTTCACTTTTTAAAAACTTTTGTAAGGTGAAAAATCTAAGAAATGTGTATGTCTTTGGTACAGCAAATCTGAGACTATTAAGAAAATAAAACAGTTTATCATATCTAGTAATCTTTTGTTTTTCTGGTTTTGAAAAATTCCAGGTAAGGATTTTGCCCATTTACCTTATTTAGTTAGGACCTGAGTGTTTTCTAACTAATTTGTATGAATTATTTACATAGAGGCTATTACTCTTTATTGTCTAATATTTTCCTATTTTTAGACATTTTTCGAAATATAATTGATGTATGACTTATTAGCTGCAGGTGTCAACATAATGATTCAATATTTATATATATTGCAAAGTGATTACCACACTAAGTCTAGTTAATATCCACCACCTTACATACATTTTTCCCCCGTGATAAGAACTTTTAAGATATACTCTCTTAGCAACTTTCAAATATAGAATACAGTATTTTTACCTATAGTCACATGCTGTATAATACCTTTGTTAAAAATAGTGCAATCTACCTTTTACGACATCTTTCATTGCTTTTAGGTTTCCTTCCTTATAAAAAAAATCATTTTGGGGGCACCTGGGTGGCTCAGTCAAACGTCTGACTTGAGCTCAGGTCATGATCTCACAGCTTGTGGGTTCAAGCCCCATGTCGGGCTCTGTGCTGACAGCTCAGAGCCTGGAGCCTGCTTTGGATTCTGTGTCTCCCTCTCTCTCTACCCCTCCCCCCCCCCACACTGTCTCTCTCTCTCTCTCTCTCAAAAATAAACATTAAAAAAAATTTTTTAATCATTTTTATTTTCTTGTATTTAACATAATTTGATTTTCCACATTTGAACTCTATGAGCAATATATCTGGAATATGAATCCAAAATATCCTAATACTACTTTTTTTCAGCCTTTTCTTAATGATTTATACTGGTACCTTATCATAGATTACATTTTCTTATACATGCTACTTAGTATCTAATTTGTATCACAGTATTACAGAATTTTAATTGTGTAGCTACATATTATTTTGTTATATGAAATGGCAAATCACCTCTAGTAAATCTTCTTTTTTTTTTTTTTTTAACGTTTTTTTATTTATTTTTGGGACAGAGAGAGACAGAGCATGAACGAGGGAGGTGCAGAGAGAGAGGGAGACACAGAATCGGAAACAGGCTCCAGGCTCCGAGCCATCAGCCCAGAGCCTGACGCGGGGCTCGAACTCACGGACCGCGAGATCGTGACCTGGCTGAAGTCGGACGCCTAACCGACTGCGCCACCCAGGCGCCCCATAGTAAATCTTCTTTGAAAAGGATTTCCAGGTTTTTATTCTCCAAGAATTATTTTGCCAAGTTTTTTAATGCATTAAATCTATAAAAAGAAGTGAAATCTTTACAATATTCAGGCTTTCTAAAGAAATACAATGCATTCCATTTATCCAGGGTTTTAGTTTTTTTTTTTTAAGGTCAATCAGTAACATTTGTAGTTCTATTTTCCCCAATATATGGTTATTTCACACTTTTTGTAGGTTTCCTGCATATTTTGTTTGTCCTTGTTGTTTTGAAAGGGATTTCTTTTCATTATTTTTCATAACTGGTCACTACTTCTGGTATATAAGAATATGTATTGACTTGTACCAATGCTAATTCTATACTTAGTAGTTCTGTCAAATTCCATTAATTTTGAGATTTTTAAGATTCATGCTTTGTAATTTCCCAGGGATATGATAACTGGAAATAGTAATGTCTTTGATTCTTTCTTATACTTATCCTCTTTTTTTGGTCTGTTGATATATTTTTGCTCTGATAAGAATCTATAATGTAAAATAATATGGACATCTGTGTTCCGTTTCTTATTTTCATAGGATCACCTCTACTATTTTATAGTCAAGTATGAATTTGAGATATTTACCATGTTAAGGATATCTTTATGGTCCTAGTTTTTAAAGAGCTTGTTCTTAGTTGGGCATGGATGGTCAACTTGTAACATGCATTTCAGAAAATTATTGATGCTATCTGATACTTATAAAGTGTTCCACTAATATGATATGTAAATTTGACTGACACATTTCACATCCTTATAATCCTGCAAAGAAATCCTACTTGGTTTTAACAGAATGCTATATTTAAACAATGGTGAAACTCTTTTGTATTATTCTGTTTAGGATTTTTGTATTTAGAGTTATAAGTAAGATTGGTCTATAAAGGAGTACATGTGTATATGAGAGAGAGCACATATGAAGGCATTAATTTTTCATTACCTTTGTTAGAATCAAGGCTGCACTGGTTTTATAAAATGATTTGGAGTGTCTTTTTTTAAAATAGCCTTTTGCGGGGGCACTTGGGTGACTCAGCCAGTTGGGCGCGTGACCGGCTCAGGTCACAATCTTCCAGTTCATGGGTTCAGGCCCTGCATCAGGCTCTGTGCTGACAACTCATAGCCCGGAGTCTGTTTCAGATTCTGTGTCTCCCTCTCTCTGCCCCTCGCCTGCTCACACCCTGACTCTCTCAAAACTAAACATTAAAAAAATTTTAAATAGCCTTTGAATCAAGCTATTTTTATTCAGAACATTTATCCATGGTTATGGTCTACCTCATCTAAAATCAATATAGTCATTTATATTATCACAAAATTATTAGATTTTTTAAGATTATTGCTTTGATACAGAACATTTGATTTTTTTAAGATTTTATATATTTTTTCTTGTCTTTTATTTTTTTATTTGTTTAGATTACAGATGCATGTATAATTTATTTTGAAGAACTAGCATTTTGTCAATTCTCTACATTTTCTAATTAATGTCCATCTACTTTCATCTTTATTTTCTTTCTCCCATCTTTTAGTTTCTTTCATTATTTTTCTAATTCTAATTTAATGAGTAAGTGTGCTTCATCTCCATCTTCTAAAAAAAAACTAAAGTGGGGCGCCTGGGTGGCTCAGTAGGTTAAGCGGCCGACTTCGGCTCAGGTCGTGATCTCGTGGTCCGTGAGTTCAAGCCCCACGTCGGGCTCTGTGCTGACAGCTCAGAGCCTGGAGCCTGTTTCAGATTCTGTGTCTCCCTCTCTCTGACCCTCCCCCATTCATGCTCTGTCTCAAAAATAAATAAACGTTAAAAAAAATTTTTTTATAAAAAAAACTAAAGTATATAAGACCAAGAATTCACCTCAGACTTTTATATCCCTAGTCAGATTTTTGAGTCATGATTTTATTAAATCTCATTCACATGAGTCCTAATTTATCTAATTCATTTTTCATTTTCTTTCTCATTCTAAACTTGAATAAGAGTTCAAGAATTCAAATGTTTCCAGTATGAAACCAAATTAAGTATCTAAATTCTAATAACCATCACACACACACACACAAAAGATTGATTACCTAAGTATCATCCTTCCAATCAGACTTGCATTCTAGTATCTTCTATGGCCTGTACTTCTCAATATCCAATTAGTCACACTAAGTCTTATCCACTTATTTTTTTTCCTCAGATTTATTGAGCTATACCTGATATAACTGTAAGTTTAAGGTGTATATGATGATTGGCACAGTAATTACCAATTCTTCCTTCAGTATGCCTCTTATATTTACCTCCTCCCTTTCATTCCCTCGCTTACATCAGACTGTTACTCTCCACCAGGAGCACAACCACAGCTTTGTAGCAAGGCTCCCTGAATCCATTCTAGCCCTGTTTTTGGCCTAAACGTCATACACTGTTAAGTAAATTCAGTTTCCAAACAACTTACAGTTATTGTACTCAAGAATCTGCACTGCCTTATGATTCCCATAAATCTAAACTTTTTGCCTCTACTTTCAAGAACGTCCTTGCACCATCTGGCCCACCCTGCTCCTCACTAATCCTCTGGGCATGCCAAGCCTCTCACCGCCACCTGCAGACAAGCTCTGTACCAGAGCAGAGCTCTTGCTCAGGACTCTTTCAAGCTTCTGTGAGGAAAAAAAAAAAAAAAAAGACTTTCATGTTTTCTTCCAACTGGCACTCCTTTCTAACCTCTCTGTATTGACTTCACATGGGTTGTCTCATTGTCAGTTTACCAGAACAAGAGATTCCCAAAGCAGGAAAAAAAAAAAAAAAAAAAAAAAAAAAAAAAAAAAAGTCATGTACATTTAAGTAAAGGCTTTTACACTGTTGTTGAGTGCTTACTTGGCATTTTTCCAGTCTTCCAAGGCAGAGGTGTCAACACGTAGCCATCCTTGTAAGCAACAATGGTTAAGCTGAGCCCTAATTTATAGGGTACTTTTATCAACACTGCTCCATTGTTCTTAGTTACTGTGGAATTTGTTTTCGTGTAGTTTACAAACACTTCTACAACTGCTTGACTCAGGTACTGACGACTGATGATGTCATTCACCTGTACTTTCAGCATAAATACAGACACTGGAAGAGAAAGAAGCCAGAAATAACAGCATGTCAGATCCTAGGGTGCATATGTCACTATACCTTAAAATGTCATTCAAGACATCTGAATAACCATACAAAACTGATAAAATCTGGAAATACATATGTATGGATGCATTGACACAGGGGGAGAAACATTCCAACAAATTCATTATTCTTTCTAAAACTGAATAAATTTTTATTATTAATAAGGCACAGTGTTATTATCCCAATTTTTTTTCTGCCAGTAAAAAGGAGAAGAAAAGGAAGCAGTGAATAAGGGGAAGACAGAGGTTCTGTCTTCAGAAAAACCCATTTTCACTTGGCCTCACTAATTCTAATGCTATCAAGTAACTAATTCAAAATATAGTCAAAGTTCCTAGAATAAAATGCAATCTCACTAAACCTTAGTGCATGACTAGCTCCTTTATTTTGTTCTGTTGTCTGGAAAGCATGGGATGTGTTTCAGTTCCAAATTACCAAATATCAAAATAAAATCTTTAAAATACCAAGAAGTATATTATCTGTTAAATATGTAAGAAAGCACAGTAAGATAATAAATTGAGGAAAATAAGAATTAACTGGTTTCTAACTTAAACCTACAGCTTTATAGATCTTTGACAATATGTTCATGGATATACCAATGTTAATGTCTCATAAAAAAAAAACTTGTATCACCATGGAAATGCCTTTGTAAAGCCTGTATCACAACTTTACCACCTTTGCCAAAGAGGCCTTCTCTTCTGCTATTAATGGGCTTTGGAGTCAGTCGATGCCCATCTCTGCCATTCCCTAGATGTGTGACTTTGGGGAAGTTACCTCTCAAAGTCCATTTGCTCATCTGTAAAATTAGAATAGTAACTACTTTGAGGTAATAAAATGAAATAATGCAAATAATGTGTTCAGCACAGAGGTTAGCTGTCACTTAATATCATTAGTAATAAAAATTATTTCTCCACAGTTGGAGACCATTTCACAAACATTAGCGTCATCTGTAAGAAATAACTCATGAGGACTGATGTTGTGGGTATACATTTGCAAAAACCCATTTCACTCCAAATATTTTTTCACAAGAATAGCAGGTCAGGTAAAAAATCCTTGTCACCATTGCCTGAGCTGCAATATTACTACCAAACTATTCTTACACCTTATATACTCTAACTTTGTTAAAAATAAACTAGGTTTTGGGGCGCCTGGGTGGCGCAGTCGGTTAAGCGTCCGACTTCAGCCAGGTCACGATCTCGCGGTCCGTGGGTTCGAGCCCCGCGTCGGGCTCTGGGCTGATGGCTCAGAGCCTGGAGCCTGTTTCCGATTCTGTGTCTCCCTCTCTCTCTGCCCCTCCCCCGTTCATGCTCTGTCTCTCTCTGTCCCAAAAATAAATAAATGTTGAAAAAAAAATTTAAAAAAAAAAAAATAAAAAATAAACTAGGTTTTAAATTGCTTTTGGACCATAACAAAGACATTTTAAATACAAATCGAACTACTGCAGTAATCACCCAGTCCTAGAAAAGATGCAATCTAGCAGGCTAGAAAAGAGCTCTGATCCTTTCAAGACTCTAAAATTCAAGTTAAATGTTATTCAAACACTATTATCTATTTAGACACAAAGATTTTTTAGTATATTTCCTCTTCTGTATGATAATAAAATATGTTAATAATATATAGAATAATAATTATAACCACAAGAACTAAAATGTGTTGAGGGTTAATGAGTCAGGCATTGTGTTCATTTTTAAGTGCATCATTCCATTTACTCTTCAAAATCCTAATTACAGAGACATTATTGTTTCTTTCATCATATATATTGGTAACTGTGGGTTAGGTTTGTAAATCATCCATGGCCAACCCGCAGTAGATGGAAGTAACAGGACACAAACTTGGGACCATCTCTCCTCAAAGTGTGTGCTCTTAAGCCACTGCATTACAACTGCCTGATTTAACTCTTTTCTTTTTAAGTTTATTTATTAAGTGTGAGAGAGAACACAAGCAGGGGAAGTGCCGAGAGGGGGGGGGAGACAGAGAGACAGAGAGAGATTCCCAAGCAGGCTCTGCACAGCAGTGCAGTGTGGAGCCTGATGCAGGGCTCGAACTCACAAAGCTAGAGATCATGAGCCAAAACCAAGAGTCCGATGCTTAACCAACTGAGCCACCCAGGCACCCTGCCTGATTCAGCTCTTAAAAGCAATCCTAACCCCAGTTTAGAGTGAAGAGATGGGAAGAATGAATTGGGAAAAAGGAAAGAAAAGGGAGGATTATATTCTGGATAGCTATACCTTAAAATGAGGTTCCATTAGTCTGTCTAAAAAGCTGTTAATTTCCAGGACAAGAATCTCTATATATTCAAATGTATATACGGAGTTTAGAAAACAAAGCAAAATATATATTACTGATATTTATCCATACCTATGCCCTCTCAGCATTTTTAATAGGCAGCTTTGTGGGAGGTTAAATTATTTGTGATTAGTAATTACTATCATTGCTTTTAATAAATTCAGGAGCATCAGGTACTAAAAGGTCAACGAAGCCTTGGTTTTTAGCACCTACTGTTCCTCAAATTATTTATTTTCCCATCATTTTATAAGTTCAGCCCATTACTCTAAAATTTAAAAAAAATCATGTAACATTTAAAATCAAAATATGAAGAAGGGCTGTGGATAAACACGTTCCTAATGCCAAGCCTTGCATGTATATTATCACAAAAATCTCAATATACTTTTATAAAATATGTGATATCAAGTCTACTTTACCAATGAAAAAAATGAGAATTCAGGTAAGTAATGTGAACTGCTCCAAGTCTCACTCATTTTAAGAGGTCTTGTTAGCCAAAACACGTCCCTGTGAATGACTGCAAAGCCATCTTTACACCATGTAACAGAGAGTCTTGGGATCATGCTACTAAAATTAATTCAAGGAATATATTGTTGCAATTACTGAGAAATGCTTATATAACATGAACTAAAAAGAAAAAAAGGGGGGGTGTCTGGGTGGCTCAGTCGGTTAAGCGTCCAAGTCTTGGCTTCCATCCAGGTCATGATCTCATGACTCGTGAATTCATGCCCTGCATCAGGCTCTGTGCTGACAGTGCAAAGCCTGCTTAGGATTCTCTGTCTCCTTCCCTTTCTGCCTCTCCCCCGCTTGCACTCTCTCGGTCTCAAAAATAAATCAATCAATATTAAAAAAAAAAAAAAGAAAAAAGAAAGAAAGAAAAAGGGAAAAAGGGAGCTCCCCAACAGACACACACATTAAACCATGACCTTAAACTCATATGGGAAATATAACTCTTGTGTAAAAAACAAGTCAGACATGTGACACGATGGCCTCCTAAACTAAACGTCCTTGAACAGGTCCACCTAGAATAAAAGCTATGTGTAGAAGACAAATAGTTGCCCCATTCAAAATAATTCCTCCAACAGCCCAGCTCCTAATCCCCTAGATGAAATTTACTGAGCCTCTGGCACAAAGTACCTCACTAACGGGGGCCAGAAAGATTCTGTCAGGACCTCAAAATGTGGCTGAAGATACACAGAAGCAAATGGTTGCCGAAGCTGAAACATCTTAGAAAGTCTAGGAGCACCTACCCACTGAGCTTTCCATAGTCTCCCTGCCCTTTGTCCTTCCAGAGGTGGGTTGTACAGCTCCTCCTGCTGATCTGTGAGCTGTAGCATCATCCCTCCCCAGAGGACCTTTATTCCTTGTAGCCAGAGGCAGATTCTGTTGCTGCCAAAGCAAGCACCTTGGATGATACAGGATACAACTGTAAACGCAGCATGTGTTATTTAATGGGCTACTCTATCTTTCGTAAGAGAAGGTACAGGAAGGAAGGATAATGTTATGTACCAAAACAGGATAAAGCATATAAGAGGGAGACTGCACATAACTAAAAGGGAATTAAGATTCGCTAATAAAATTTAATAATGGGTCTTATTCAAATCAAATGTACCCACAATGGTTCCTTCAATAGCATCTTCAGGAGTAGGAATTCTGATTAATTCCTTTGCTGCAAAGATTAATTTCAGAAATTCTGAGAGCCTTTGATTTATAGACAAACTCCAGTGTGTAGTAAGATCTTAAGCGAAATTCATAAAAAAACCAAACCTGTGTCTTCTGTCTCCTCCTGTCAAAGTACAGTTGTCAAAATAAGACACACTAAAGGCTCCTGACATTCTGAGGCTGGATTTGATTCTTAATGTTTTCCAAAACATTTTTTAATCCAGAATGGATGGTTTTATTTTTCCACATGTAATAATTATGTTAAAGAATAAATTTGGTGAGAAAATGATTATTAAGTTCAGGAAAAAAATGATTCACAAAGGTCAAATATTGCCGATCAAAATCAGTGTTCTTCTGAAGAGATCCCGTATTTCTGCTCCTTAGATCTATTAGACTCAGGACATAATGTAGCCCTGACCAGCAGGGTCCTCTCTAGCTCAATTTGGAAAAAAAAAACTAATGCTATTTATGACATGCACATACACAGACACAGACACACACACACACAGACACACACACACACAGACACACACACACACACACACACACACACACACACCAAGCTGAGTGCGAGAAACTTTATCCGTGTTGTCCAATTTCATCCTAATACAAACCTGCAAGACTTTCCCCCCATTTTAAGGCAAGGAATCTAAGGCTAGAGTTGCACAATTAAGGCAGGATTCACAGACAGGTTCATCTGACTCCAAGTTCTATGCATTCTACTCCCCACATCTCTTCTTGAAAACCAGTAGGGCTTTGGTTTTTACCATATTCAGTAGCTTACTTGTTTCCTTCCAACCAGTGCAGAGAAGAAAGTGCAGAGAAGAATTTGCTGGTCCTATGAGCCTTTCACCCCATCCTTAGGCTGGGTTTGTGTGGCCCCAGCATAAGCAACAGCAAAAATAGCATTAAAAAAAAACAAAAAGTCTCAGCTGGAAGCCTGCTTGCTGCTATTAAAGGGGCATAAACAATTCTTTCTCCTACAAATAAAAGGACAAGAATAAAGAATT